TTGGGGTTTCGTCGCTTGGCAGCGATGTTGTAAAACAAGCCGATCACTTCGTGAGCTCGGCAACCAGGTTACCTCCTTTTTTTTGCCTCTGGTTTTATATGTCGGTAACCATGAACGGTGGTCGAGTAGATCATGTTGTGCGGGGTGGAGAAACCTCACTCCGCGAAAGCGGGATGATCGCACCACGTTGTGTTAAATTGGTCAACCACCCTCGAGGCAGTTACACAGTACTTACAACTGTCTCTGGAAGTGAAGCACCAGAACATAAATTAAGTCATACGCAGCTGTCATTCGCACANACGGTGGTCGAGTAGATCATGTTGTGCGGGGTGGAGAAACCTCACTCCGCGAAAGCGGGATGATCGCACCACGTTGTGTTAAATTGGTCAACCACCCTCGAGGCAGTTACACAGTACTTACAACTGTCTCTGGAAGTGAAGCACCAGAACATAAATTAAGTCATACGCAGCTGTCATTCGCACAGTACGCAAGGAAGTAAGCACGAGATGCCGAACACCGTTAGCAGGATGCAGCGCACCCTTCATGCGACTCGCCGAATACCTCACGGCGCTTCGCGCTTGGTGATGTGAGAGCCTGGTCCGGTGAGAACCCGGCGTGCTCCGTCCCGGCTTTGTAGGGATGCGAGGTCAATGGTCAAGCGACAACGGCATGCACGACTATGAGTACACCCCCCCGGTCGCCGGTGTTTGCCATCGAGGTTTGGGTTTTCGTCGCTTGGCAAGGACGTTGTAAAACAAGCCGATCACTTCGTGAGCTCGGCAACCGGGTTACCGCTTTTTTTTGCCTTATTTTTTTTTGCGGGAACCATGAACGGTGGTCGAGAACCCTCACTCCGTGCAAGGGGGATAATCGCACGTTGTGTTAAATCACTCACCTACTCTCGAGGCAGTTACACAGTGCTTGCAACTGTCTCTAGAAGTGAAAGAACCAGAAAATAAATTAAGTCATACGTAGCTGTCATCCGTACGCAAGAAAGTAAGCACAAGATGCTGAACACCCATAGCAGGATGCAGCGCACACTTCATGCCACTCGCCGAATACCTCACGGCGCTTCGCGCTTGGTAATGTGAGAGCCTGTCCCCCCCCCCCCCCCCCCCGGCGGACCCACATTTAATTTCCGAGCATATGTATGTGACATGTCTTGAATTGGTTTTCGCGCAAACCCTTGACGATACAACAGACAGAAAGGCAGATGACAGTGAAAAGGGATTGACGCGCGTATGGAGCAAACAAAAGGTTGGGCAATATCCAATCGGGGAAGATACGTCTCATCTGTACAAACTATTTTCTCTGGAGCGGATATCCGCAAGGGAAATCAAGCAGCATCACAATCAATCCGAGTAAGCAGCTCCAACTTCCATAGCGTCACATAACATCCATAGCATCCATAGCAACCTCCATAATCAGCATATCAGGTTCAGCACTCACAAGTTGTGGCAATGGCAAGGGTATGGCTCAATCGATCTTTCGCTTTGACGGCGGTGTTGAGTGAAACACCTGGGTTGTTGTTTAGGGTCACCCGCCGAGGAAGAGGCGTTTGCCCCCAGGGGTCAGGGGACATGTACCCTGGACCCCTCCAGCAAGATGGATCAGGAATGAATCGGTCTGCCTGATTCCCGATCACGTCAGCCTTGTACGCTCTCCGGATACTCGCTACCATGCGAAGTATCCATCATCGTATTTCGAGAGTCGGTGGGGACAACCGGCCCTCGTGAACCAGGAGATGGCGATCTTGGCTCTCCGGATACTCGCTACCATGCGAAGTATCCATCATCGTTTTTCGAGAATCGGTGGGGACAACCGGCCCTCGTGAACCAGGAGATGGCGATCTTGGCTCTCCGGATACTCGCTACCATGCGAAGTATCCATCATCGTTTTTCGAGAATCGGTGGGGACAACCGGCCCTCGTGAACCAGGAGATGGCGATCTTGGCTCTCCTAGCTTCATTCTCCGTCGATCGGTGCGATGACGGTGGTGCAAAAGATTTCGCGCGACCATCCACTGCCAGCACACCGCCCCACACTGCCAGAGAGACGGTCAGCAGGCTCACGGCAGTGGTATACACATCGGTCGCTACTCAGGCAGAGAAGGACGGATGGGCAGCCACTCCCATCCCAACGTCCATCTCTCGCTTCGTGAGCTCCTCTCAGTCGCTATCAGGGTACTCCACTCGCCTGTAGGGATACCAATAGCCGAAAACGGTGGCCTTGAAGAAAGTGTGGGCTGGTCTTCGTTGTCGATAAATTCGCGACCCACTGTGTACCCACCGGGAAGACTCGCAAGGCGTGTTCCCGCGACTCCGCTTCACATGCGCCCCGGGTGGGCGGTCCGACAGGTCTTGGCGTTACATCCTCACCATGATAGTCCTCATACGCCGCGTGAAAGACATCGAGATGCAGGGGGGGAAAGCTGCCGCTCGTCTCGTCTTCCGTTAGTCAGGGCGACAACGTGCCGTCTTGGTGGCGGCCCTGATACTCCCAAGACAATGTGTTGCCGGTACCATGCGCGACCGTCCAGTCCAACAGTATGTACAGGGGGACCGCGACAACAAAGATCTCCGCGAGGCGCAGGTCAGCTGACTACAAGAGGTATGCGTACTCATCCTCGAGCGGGAGCCGGCGGTGTTGGGGTTGCGCTTGGTACATCTTGACACCGGCGGCCGCGACTCGGCGTTGGCGTACCCGTCGCTCGTTCAGTTGAACCTTGAAGCTCAGGTGGTTTCGGATGACGTGGGTCGTACGCCAGCTTCGGGTGGTGGCTGTCGCGGTGGAGAGTGTTGCTTACCTCCTTGACTAAGACGAGATTGCTGACAACGGCCATAGCACCGGGCGACCCCCGCGCCATGTTGACGTTGTCACGCTGTCGCTGTAGGTTTTGGGCCTCATGGCGTCGTTTGAGGATTCCTTGCGTCATGCGCTGTTGGTCCGCAATTGTCCTCTCAAGCCTTGTCCAAAAGAGTCGTCGTCGAGGGCTTGGGTCATGGCGTCGATGAGGCTACGCGACTCCCGACCGAAGAATATTCGAAATGGTGACGCCCCCCAAGGGAGGGACGCGTCTGGCGTGACCCGGTGGATCCAGGTGGCGACAGGGACGAAGTCATCAAGGTCTCCCCATCGCCGGGGCGCATGAAGTACACAGCTGAGTCCGGGTCTCGTGAAGCCACTCCCCCAGCCTCTCGACTGCTCCCCCGTGCCCGCGGGTGGTTGGTTGGGCCGTAGTTCGGGGGTACTTGCAGACAGCGACGCAGGTGCTTCATCACTTTCGCCGTGAACTCGCTTTCGGGGTCGCCTCGGATCGACAGCGGCACACCAAACAACAGGAGCCCCAGCAGTTCGTGGCTGACAGCAACTGCTTCCTTCGACGGCAGAGGAACGGCGGCGAGGAAGTTGGACACTCGGACGCTCGGTCAATGTCGACGAGCAGGTACCGGTTACGGTTGTCGGGGGACACCTTCATGTCCTGAATGTCCATCTTGAGGATTTTACATGGCTGGAGGAGTCGGGCAGGCATCATGGCGAAGTGCTTGCGCCACGCTCTTGTCCGCCGTCGGCATTTGCAGGACAGGACATAGGCGCGGGCGTCTTTCTCGAGGGTGGGCCAGTGGCACCTCCTCTCGATCAGTATCGTCGTATGCGCGGTCCCCGGGTGGCCGTACGTGCCGTGAATCAGGGCCAACACCGCCAGCACGAGTCGTCTGGGCACCGCAATCACGTACCCGCGGCCCCGCGGTGCGCACCAGGGCAAGTCGTCGTTGGCAAGGACATACTCGCTGTCTTCTCGTCGTCCCGCGCGTCCAACTCGCTCCGCAGTGGACGTAGCGAGGGTCCTGCCGCTGCGTTTCCACGAGTTTCGCGGTGTCTCGCAGGGTGTCCTCCATCAGCGCCAGCTGGGCGGAGAGTCCACGGCGTAGCTCCGGCGTGTCCAGCGGGAGGTGGTCATCTGAAGAGTGTTCCTCGGGGTGCGGCAGCGGGGTACTGCTGCCGCGGTTTACCGCCGGTGCCGGGGTGATCGTCGGTGCCGGAGGAGGTAGCGGTGAAGCCATTGGAGCAAGTATCGGCGAGAGCGGCGTTGGTTGTGGCGGCGGCGACGGTGGCGTCGGCGTCAGCGAGGGCGCCGGCTCTGGTGTAGGCGTTGGCACCGAGCGTCGGGCCAGTGCTTTCCCTGTCGACGAGGCCCGGGTGGTTCCACCACTCCTGCGATTGGAGACCGGTGTGGCGTCCGTAGGTTTCTCAACCGGTGGGGGTGCTGCCCGGCGGGCCATTCCTCATGTGACCCTCGGTATGACAAAAAAGCGCGGCTTCTCGACGCTGACGTCCACGATCGGGGCCCCGGGTGCTTCTTCCCCTCCCCCGTGCTCCCTCTTCCTTGCTAGATGCTTCCGTCGGGTCCAGCCAGAAGCTAGCAAGGACCACCGACAACTCTTCGTCCAGGCTAAGGCGCTGGTCCGACGGGTGCCTATCACGCCGTAGATGCCGAGTGCACTGACCGCTTCTCGGAGCATGGCTGGCAAGGTGAACTCCTCGAGCGCCCACACGGCGTCGATACGCCGAAGTCGGGGGGGGGTGGAAGTCGGCTTGGGTCGTGGTGAGGTTCACGAAATCAGCCCATGACAGGTTTTCGGCATCGACGAGAGGCGCGTCGTCCGTGGGGTTAGGCTGGTACTTCTCCGGCAGTGGTCGACGGCCCATGACGTGCTCATGAGCGAGGGTGATCGCTGAGTACTGCCTTGCCGTCGTGTGGTGTTTCAGGAAGAAGTGGCCCTCATGCTCCAAGAACGCGCCTACCGTCGGTTTGGTGGTCGTGCGCTGCTGTAGACGGAGCTTCCATCTGGCCAACTTCGCCGGCAGCTGTTTGGGGGAGTTGTACGGGTACCGCTTGACTGCAACCGCGAAGACCCGCTGTTCCCCGGTGGGCACCCCTACATCCGTGGCGTGTAGAGTGGCTTCCTTGACGAAGCACCGAGCCTGCTCCAAGGTCGGTCACAGGCGGTCCTTCCACACCGGTGTCCTGGAGAATTCCGCCGGGTACTCCAGGAGCAGCAGCTTCGCCCTGGAGGTGGTGAGGGTGTCCACGATGGCGGCGGCCTGGGTGGCCGCCGTGTCGCCGCGGCGGTGGAGGGCCGTAGCGCTGGCAGGCGCTGCCGATGAGAACTTTTGGTCGGGGTTCGGTCAGTACCTGCGTGCAGCGGCGGCCATAGGTGGAGTTCGGACTAGTCGGACGTCTATATTCCAGCTGTCTACTCTCACACACTCCAGCGTGGTCCAGTCCGGCTCGATCGCGGCGTCGACTCGTAGACGGCCTTCGAGCGCTAGGAGCGCTCTGCCGGCAACGCAGCCCAAAACTGCGGCTCGGGGCAGCCGGGGGACCAGGGCGGTCCGAACGTTCTCGCAGCTCAGGAGGCGGCGGCAGTCGTCGCTTTCCAGGAGCTCCGGTGTGAGCTGGGGGGCAAAGAAGACGGTTAGCGGCTCCGCCGGCTGGTGGCATACCTCGGTCAGTCCAAGCGCAACAAGGGAGACGCCGTCAAGTACCTTCTCGTCCTCCACCGCTGCCCGAATTTCCGCGGTCGCGTTGAAGGGCGGCGGGTGGGTCTCCTCCCGTGACGTCGGAGGTGCCAACGTCCGGAGCGGCACACTGTCGAGCACTGGTCCCACCAGGCCCTGGTTGCTCACCGGGCGGGAGATGTCGTCAGGCAAGAATGTGTCGACGGGCGGCTCTGGTGCTCCTTTGCGGTGCAGGCGCGACAGCGCGTCGGGCGCCGTGTGGTCTTCGCCCTTCCGCCGTCTGAGCTCGATGTCGAACTGCATCAACCGCAGCGCCCACCGGCGGATTTTGGAAGACAGGTTCTGGCTGGTGAACAGCCAGGTCAGGGCGGCGCAGTCAGTGACGAGGGTGGAGCGCCGGTGCTGCAGGTATGTGCAGGATGCTCGATGCCATAGAGCACCCCGAGGACCTCCCGGTCGTTGGGGGAGAGCCTCTCCTCCGTTCGTGTGAAACGGTGCTCATGCGGCGAGTTCGCTGGCGTCCGTGCGCAGGGTGAACGGTAAGCTTCAGTTCGGTACCGCCAGCACCGGGTGGGTCCCCAGTGCTTTCATGATGGCCTGGAATGCTTCGGACTGCGCGGGGCCTCACGAATCGCAAGATGGCGCGCTCGCTTCGAGCTGAACGTCTTGTCCCGCAGGAGATGGTGATTGGTGCCGTGAGGGCACTGAATTCCGGCACGAACTCCCGGGGGGAACCGGCGAGATTTAAGAACGCTCGCACCTCGCCGACCGTCGCTGGCATCTCCATTTCCTGCACGACCTTAATCTTGAACGGGCCGGCCGCACGCCCGACCTCCCGACCATGGCTCCCAGGAATTCCACCTCCGACATGCAGAACATGCACTTCTTGAAGTGCACCGAGTACCCCGCCTCGTAGAGAAGGTCCAAAACCTCCTCGATGAGGGTGAGGTGCCCCTCCAGCGTGGCGCTCTGCATTTCGTCCAGCCAGCGTTGGACGCCGCCCTTGTTCTCGACCGGGACAAAGGTGTCGCCAACGTGGGCCGAGAACACGGCGGGGATCGTCGTGAGGCCGAAGTCGCAACGCGTGAGCTCGTACAGTCGCCCACGAGCGTCTCTGAAGGCCGACGTGTGGCGGTCGGCTTCTTTGATGGAGAACTGGTGGTAACCCGAGGGCATATCGAGTAGCGTGAAGAAGTTGGCGGCCACAACAACATTCCTCACGTTGCTGCTCTTTGCGGATGCCTCGGCTTGGGGGTAGAACCAAATGCCCGTCGTTCGTTGTTTGTTGCACACAATCCAGGTTCATCCCAGCTGCAATCTCGACCGCCGAGGCCGTCAGAAAGTTAGCGCATTGTAGGGAGAGCAGGTGGGGAAAATAGAAAATCAAAATCCAAACTTGGTCCACATCAACAGCACTTCCATGCTGTGGTTGGTATTATCGTCGTGTACCACAACGACATCGTCGCCAAAGTGCTGAGCCCCCCGCTATATTTCTTAGTGACAGCATTGCCGTTTACCTTCTTGACGATGGATGCTCCTCGCCCTGGATTTCTTGGCGGGCGCGATGTCCAGATCATGTTTTGATCGGTATGCGGAAATCATTTCGTGGCATTGCGGCACTTCGTCGGCACGATACATCACATCTGATTCAGGACCGTATCCTTTCAGTCTTAGACGATATCGATAATGTTGCGGACCTTTTTGGCCTTGACCGCTTCGATGCCCTACCACTTTCAGTGCGACGTCTCTTGCAATTTTCGGTTGATTTTCGTCGTTTGCTGTCAGGGCAGGTAAGGGAAGTTGTTTCCCAAGGAAATATTCCGCCAGTTTTCCAAATTGTGGTCCTGGTGGTTTTTTCCTTTCATGGTACTGTTTTAGATGGGCAAGATGCACGGATATTTCTCGTGTTTCATTGACTCGCTTCACCCTATACACAACTGGCGACAGTTGTGAGCAGATGGTATACGGTCCTCGCCAAGGTAAGAACAGCTTCGGATTTGGTCCAGCTGAATCCTGGTGTGGTCGGTATACGAGTACTTGTTGACCAGGTTTAAAGACGGGGTATTGCGGTAAGTTTTCGTTTTTCGCAGCTTGCTTCTCTGCACGTTCCGTGAGGTTCTTCGCGCTAGTTTGAAAGCAATTTGTAGGTTTTCTCGTGTTTTTTGAGCAAAACTCTCGGTATCTGCGGTTGATCCTACATGTGGGATTCCGAGAATTACATCTACCTGTAAACGTGCTTGGCGACCAAACAACAAGAAGTACGGTGTCTCATGCATGGTTTTATTAAACGACGTATTATACGCTAGTTGAACCATTGGCAGGAGATCCGCCCAGTTGTCACGATTCATGGAGCTATGCATTGCGAGCATGGAATGCATCGTTGAATGCACACGCTCAGAGACCGAATTACCTTGCGGACGATACGGCGGCGTGCGTGTTTTCTTGTAGCCAAGGATTGTTTGCAACTGATAGGTTATCTTGTTTTCGATTTCAGTGCCTTGATCAGAGTGCAGCATTTCAGGCGGGCCAAAGATACTGATGATCCGATCAATGATTACACGTGCTACGGTTTCAGCAGTTTTGTTTGGAACTGGTGTGAGAATTGCATAACGCGTCAAGTGGTCCATCATGGAAATCACGTATTTACATCTCACTCCGACTGCTGACATTGAGAGTGATTTGTACTCGACTAGGTCGACTGATACTCTTTCAAACGATCGCTGTACAGGTACGTGACCCGTCGGCAGTTTCGGACGGCAGTGAGGTGTCTTTCTCCGTTGACAGGCCTGGCATTCTAGGCACCAAGTCCGGATGTCACGGTTCATTGACTGCCACCAATATTTTTGACGTATTTTTTCGTACGTTGGACGAAATGCGAGGTGTCCACCTGAAAGAGCGTGATCATGGTATGCGTGCATCACTAAACCGGTGAGGTCAAGTGGGACTGCAAGTTGATCACTAAGAGTGCTTCGTTTTCGTAGGTGTCCTGGCAGATACGATTTAAACAGTAAACCGTCTTGTATGGAATACTACGACATTGATCTTGCCGTTTCGTTGTCTGGTAGCGGTGCTTTGGCGTCTAACATGTATTGGACATATTCGCCGTATTCTTCGGCTTGTTTCTCACTTCCGTGGCGCTGACGAACTTTGAATTGACTGGGAATAATTCCCTATCACAAGGACTGATTGCACATCATCCAATTTGTCAGTCGAGGCTTGGTAGACTTGGAATGGTCTGTTTGGCATGTGTTGCTGCAGCTTTGGATCGTCCGGTACATTTCGGCAAATCGGTGCAAGGTTCGGCGCAGTTCGTTCTTGTTCATTATCGAACACGAAAAGTCGCGATAACGTATCCGGCACTACATGCAACTTTCCCGGTTTATGTTAAACCGTGAAATCGAAGGATTGCAGTGCTATTGCCCATCTAGTGAGCATATTTGACATGCATCGTATAACGATATCGCAATGCCGCATGATCAGTTACGCACGAAAAATGTCTACCCCATAAATAAGGACGCCAGAGTTAAATTGCTAGAACAACAGCATAGCATTCTTTCATGGAGTAGTGTTGTTGGCTTTTGTTGAATCGTTGGCTACAGTATGCTTCGATATTCACGTCATCGCCATTCTGTTGTGCCATTGCACTTTTGGTGTGCTTATACCAGCGACAGACTGTGCGTGCTACTATCACCCCACGGAATGCATCTGGTGTATCCTGCTTGCCAACGTCATCGGACGTAACGATGCGTGGTTCAACCACGGCAGCTGTTTCATGTTGTGCAGGTATGCTGCATTTCCGTGTAGTGTATACAGGCACTGCAGGCGTGCCCCGCTCCACTGCTACCACATAACAGTTCTTACTGTTTTTCTGATCGGTCGTGGAATAGCGCGTTTTGCGGTGGACTGCTGAAATTTTGGTTGTTTTAAACGACAATTCTTCCGCTTGCCAATCAAGAACACCACCAAATGCGCCCACTATGCTATTGTCGAGTAGCATATCATCAGGTCCCAACGACGGCAGCACTAGAGCTTCAACAGGTAACGTGATTTCTCCCATTATTAATAGTGTCAGTTCAAATCGTATCCTGCAATTTTTAGGGGCGAACCATCGGCGCTGGCAGATTGATTGCTCCCGGGGGTACTGGAAATATTTCCGTGTTTTTCGTTTTGTGACTTCTCATGAACTTCCGTGAAATGCATGGTATGTCACACGCCGTGTCCATTGTTATTTCATCAACCGATTCATTGTTTATTCTGGCTGGTACACGCACTCGCTTGGATGTCGATCGCAATACCGATGGACACACGGGATATCCAGCGAGTGCAGACATGTAAAAAGCATGAAATTCTTCATTACGGTCAGTTCTCATTAGGTTAGACCTATGTTTCGACCTGAAGTCCCCAGCTACGGTAGCTACGTGCAAGGCTCGCGGCGCTAAACAGGCGGCTACTTGCCTTACTTGGGTGCTATCCCCTAGTGCTGGATCTACAGCGGCTACTGCATCAGTTGTGCGGGTACTTGACTTCGGGACTCCTCGCGTTTGCTTGCTGCTACAACCTTGCGAGAATGTTCTCGTGATACATGTATTTCAACTGTCTTTCTACAGCGCTGCTCTTTGACTGCTTTTCTTGTTGTTCCCACCAGAGATTGTATACCATTGTTACAGTGTTTTGAATCCCTCTCATCTACTCTGGCTCTATTCTGCTTTCTCGTGCTTTGCAGTCTATCCTGGTTTGTACCTCCTGGTTTGACAGAACCAAATGATTGGTGTCCCACGTTGGCCGAGGGATGCTACCTACTCGGGCGACCCTAGTTTTTCGTAACCGTGTACCCCTCATTTTTAGCGGCTTGTTCGTTTTTGCACTCCGCGCGGGTGTGCGTGAAGCGTATGTTACTGAAACGACAACCAATAAAGTCACATTCCTTCCTATGTTTGGCGATGTCGGGCTTGGCAGTACCAGCGAACGATACTTTCGCCTTCGCCCGCGCGGGAGGACCCCGGGATTTGGAACTATCCTTGTCACGTTTGTCGGTCCCCCGCTGAGCACGCCCACCGCGTCGCGCGCCGTATGCTCCACCACTGGACACGAACGCTTCCTGCCCTGAAATACAGTTTTCAATGGCAGTGATGCGGTCCTTGTTGTCGTCCGCAGTACTTCGGAGCTGCCCGGGGCCAGCAGAGCCGTAAACGGTAGAGGCGGTAGCCGAGATGGGGGCAGGGGGCGAGCGCAGTTTATTGGGCTCGTGTCTACGAGCACGCGCTGTCGACTCCATGAAAGAATCGGATGGATCTGTCCGCATCATCTCTACGCGAATGTAGGGGTGTACACCATTTTCGAAAAATGCGGTGAGAGCTTGGTTAAAAGCGTGTTCATGAGGTGGTACATTCAGCGGAGCTGTGCGTTCAGCTTCGCCTAGAAGTCTGGCAAACGCGCGTGATACTCTGAACGCAAACACGTCAACTGATTCGCTAGTCTTCGCTTCTAATGTCATGACATCACGTGCAAGAAGAGCAATCCGGTTGGCGGGAGCGAACGATGTGGTGAAAGCCGTGACCCATTCCTTCCATGTTTTCGGAGGTGTGATCCGGACCACTTCCCCACGTGCACGCAACGCATTTAGCTGAGCTGGCGGTCGCCATTCGAGAGATGAGCTAAGCATGAGGCTGAGACTTTGAGCTGCGGCACCTCGCACGAAGAGCGCGAGATGTTTGACTGCGCGGTGATCGATTGTGCTTTGAGAGACGTTGTCTGCAGACAACAGACCGATGTGTGCCCTGTAAAGTGCCATTTTTTCGGGAACATCTTCGTATGGCAGACCCTCGAGCTTGAGATCAGGAGGTAGGTCAGTAGCTTTCAAAGTAAATCGCGCCGTGCTAATCACGTCCTGATTTACCGTGCTTTGAGTTACCGGGGCAGGGTTGTCCTGGTTTACCGTTTGCTGGTTAACCTGGTTCGGTGAGGCCTGGTTTACCGTGTTGTGGTGTACCGGGTTACTAGGTGAAATTGTCGGTGTAGACATATTTCTAGCAGGGGTTTGTTGAACACTTGCTGTCGTGTGCATTCCAGAGCGATTTTCTGCTTCAAGATCGGGGGCAAGCAAACGCGGATTCACCTTCTGGATGTCTTGCTGGTGAGCGGCTCCCGGCATAAGCATGCTCAGGACCCATGCCGGC